TGGTCAGAGATATGAGACTAGGAAAAAGCAAGACATATTAGTGACCTATCATAGCAGTTTGGTTGGAAGTTGACGAGGTTATAGTGTAGAAGTTGTAGTAGTCATTGTATTTGTGTTGGTAGTAGTAGTGCTGGTATTGCTAGTAGTAGTAGTAACATTACCACTGCTACCACCTTGCTTACCATTAGTACTGTATATATTGTACTGTACATTGGTAGAGAATTTTGTATTTTATAAAGTATTGCCACATATTGTCTAAGTTAATCTTTAAAGCATACACACTTTACAGAGAAGCTTGGAGAATCTAAGAGATCTACCCAAGGTCACACAACAAATCAGCGGTAGCATCCAGACTTGAACCAAGGTTTTCTCAACAGCAGGTTCAGGTTTATTGGGATAGACAAAAACAATGATTTACAAAGCAGATATACTAGCTGCTCGGAGACTTTTGCTACAGATGAACAATTTCACCTGTCTTTGTTTCCAATAATGCCAATAATGTAATTAAGAAACAGTTTGGCCCAAAATGTATTTTTATCTTTTAATGAAGTTAAATTCTTTTCAGTATTAACAATTGTATATGCTAATCTTCTTATTCTGTATCTTTTCTCATTGACAGTAATCAAAATGGTAAATTTTATATATTTAAAACATTGCTATAAATGAATTTATTTATATTCATTTTATAACAAATCATTTGATACCCATTTAGACTACAAATAGGTACATGGGGGTAGGTATAACTAACCCTAAGGAGTTGAACTTTGCTTTTTTGTGGTCAGTAAAGTATTCAGAAAAATAAAAAAAGCATTTATACTGTGTTCAAAAACAAAAAATGGCAATGATCTCATCCAAAAGGATATCGTTTTTTTAATCTTACATGCCTTATGCATTTTTTTCTTCCCACTGACTCCCAGTGACCTTTTCTATTTTTCTCCTTTTATTCATCCATCAAAATTATACTGTTGTCCATAGGAGAGGGAATTGGTACTTAACCTATGCACACTTAATTTTTTTCAAGTGCAAAAACAAATATATGACTGCATTTGTATTGTAAGTGCTTACCTGATATGAACACTAGATGGCAACATTGTTGCATTTTAGCTTTAAAATGCGCTAGGAAACTAGCTTTTGTTTGTTAATAATGCCTTATATATTTAGAGAATGCAATTTGTTAACACACTGATTTATTTGAATAAAAATAAAATTCCCAGAAAATATTTAATGTTGTACATGCATGTATAGATCTTTCATGAGAAAATAATGGAATTATGTTGTATGAGTATTTTCTACTTGAAAGTAAATTGCCTTTTGGTTATTATATGTTATTAGATGATCATATATTATTTTTCTGTTCATTTCATCTACATACCATTATTTTAGGATTTTATTTTATAGTAATGTGTTATTTTTACAGCTTGACTTACCAATAATATACAGTGAAACCTATGAGAGCCAGAGCTTGACCGTACTGCCTGTTTTTCCAGGTCTCGCAAGTTTTCTGCCTTTGACAGGGTGCAGTCTTAACCACTTTTCTATTGCTTGTTTTAGTGGAAAATATTTGGGTTTTCCTTCTCTGACAGGTTTCTGGCTTACACAGGTTCTGGCTTTCATAGGTTTTACTGTATTTAAAATTTTTTCACGTACAAATGGACAATATGTGGTATATACATTCAAAATTATCATGAAGCAAAAGTTTGCTTTCATTACATTTCATTTAAATCTATTTAAATCTGTTCTATAATAAGGATATAATAGTAGCTTAAGGAATCTTTAAAATTTATTAAAATTCCAATTGAGAATAATAACAATAAACCCAAACCCATTGCTATCGAGTGACCCTATAGGACAGAGCAGAACTGCCCTGTAGGGTTTGCAAGCCTGTAATCTTTACAAAAGCAGACTGCCATGTCTTTCTTCCGAGGAGCGGCTCATGGGTTCAAACCCCTGACCTTTCAGTTAGCAACTGAGCGCTTAACCACTGTGCCACCAGGGATCCTTAATAATATAATAGTAGTATTATACTGTAGTTGGTGGCCTTCTGAGTTTCTTTATGCCTGTATTGAATTTTAGATAAAATTCTGCTCATTAACTTTTTAATCTCACAGATAAGTAAAGTGAATCCTATCGCATTTTATATTTTGTTAATGCTCAGATTTACTGAACTTAAATATGGTTAAAAATTTTTTTTTAGATTTTTGAAATAACTTTAGTCTTATCCAGTTTTCACCTTTAGTACAATTTTTCAGTCATTGTCATGGGAACATTATTTAATTTTCATTCACATAAAATAAATGCATCCCACCTATACATGCCTGAACTTAAACAGTGACAAAGCATTAATTCTGGAGTTTTCACTCTGCTTTTCTTTCTTCTCTCAGCTTGGGTAGAGTGGATAAACAGTACCATTTCCTTGCTGTTAATAGTTTATTGGTATTACATTGAAATTTTTTATTTGATCAGCTCTGTTTTTGAATACAGTTTATCATCTATAAAAGAAATATTAGTGAATTATCTTTTTTCCAGATTATATTAAAACCAAGTTATGCTTTTTTACCTCTTTTTTTTCCTTGAAGAAAAATAATTCTTTTGGAAATTTTTGAATCACCTATTTTATTCTTTTGATAGTTCTGTATCTTCTCTTACTCCTTCCCACCTATCTCTACCATAGTCTTATAGTTAGGTGAAGGCAGGAGGAGTACAGTTTTTAAGACTGTTAGATATAGTGCTTATTTTTAAGTATTAAACTATATCAGTTTATCTTTTCAGAGAGAATAAGATTGCTGAAGAGTTTTATTTCTAAAATTATTGGTACAGGTTTTTAAAGTGACTTTTAAAAGAGAAATTATCTTTAAAAAAGTAGAGGCACTTAATAATACATATGTTTATAACGTATTATCATTGACCTTATTTGAGTAACTTAGCATTTTAAAAATTATTTTTGAAAGTTCTTGATAATTCATTCTTTTGATGACATATTTTATTTAAGTTTTAAACTAATAACTATTTCATTATAAAAAATTATAAATTAGTATCAAGAAACAACTGAAAGAAGAAAAGGGGCATAGTTCTTTTAAAGAATGATTCTGTGTACTGTATTGACAAGTTTCATTTTTCAGTAGTTAATATCTGATTTCTGAGTGGTTCTATAGTTATTTGTACATAATTTAATTTTAAATAAGAAAAAATGTTCTAAGCTTTTTTCATTTTATGAAAGTATAAATGAGAAGCATTTTGAAGCAAAGTTTAATGTACAAATGTAGTTTTTTTTCCTAAAAAGATACATTTCCATTTATATTTTCCCTTCTTTTGAATTCACCTCATAATACTATATATCGGGATGATTTATTTGTTATGTCGATTTAATTTTTTAGTTATGTATCATCATAATCTTTTCCCACAAAGGTTGCATTGATTGCAGTAGCATTTAGAATACCTTAAACTTTCTTCTTCTTTAGGTGTTGATTTATGAGCTACACAAGATACATGTAATTTAATTTTTATTTTTCCAGATGAATTTATCATCAGTCAGAAAGCAGGATGATAATTTATTTTATTTTTGAGAGTTTTTTGAAGCAGATACTTCATCCTAATTCACCATAGCTGTAGGAAAATGTTTTTGCTGTGTTAGGGCAGCTAACATTTTATTCAGCTAAAAACAGATTCTCGGCATTTTTCTTCAAATACAGATAGATGTGTTATAATTTTATATAGTCTGCAGTTTTTTTAAAGTAGAAATTTTGTTAATATCATTTATTTAATTTAAAAATGTTTAAATTTAAAATATTTTAATCTTACTCAAATTCAACCAGTTTGGCTTCAAATTCAACCAAAGTCAGTATTTATCTTTTTCCCTAGTTGGAATTAATTTTTTTTTCTGGAAAGGTGATTTAACAGTTATTAATTGCCAGCTATGTCCAGGCAGTGTTAGATAATGAGAATACAAAGGTGAACAAAATGCAGTTCCTGCCATCGAGGACCTTATTCTAGTCGGTGGCTTGCACTGCTCTTCATTTTGTACTTGGTGCAGTTACAGATTCTACCTTGCACTGTAGTTAGTGCTTTATATGTGTATTGACTGGGAGGATATATACATGCTGAAAGAACAGATAACTCAAAGTAAATACTAATATGTACATATTAAAAGTGAATAAACAAAAATAACATTTTCACCTCAGTAGTCCCTGATACATGATAATTCAGTTATTTAAGTATCTTCTACCAAGTGATAGCAAACACGTTTGTTGAATCATTTCTTATGACGAGTCTTCAACTTAGTGTTGTGGAGCAATGGTTGTGTCATAACTAAATGTTGTTAATGCCCGACTCAGTTTAGTTATGGTATCAGTGTCAATCTCAGTGAGGGCTTGAAACTTAAGTTACAGACAAATAAGCATTGTATTATACATGGCCTGTTACAAACCAAGTGGCTTTTCTTAAAAATTTTCATGGCTGTATTTCAGATACTTTATAATTAAAAGTTATACTCACTGTATCACTCATAATATAATATTTTAAACTTCTGTTATAGATTTTTAACCAAAAGCACTTTAACCAGATAAACTGATTTAATAAAGATGTTTCTTAAGATTATAAAACCTCTTTACCTTAATTTCCATATTGTATAATATTATGGTTGTTTGATTTGTATTTCTACAGAAAGTAATTATGTTCATCAAGTGCTAGTCACACATCAGAAATCATAGTTGATGAAATACTATCTAATGCATGTATCGATTAGGTAAGAAGATGAATCTTGTAAACAGAAAGCGTCAGCATAAAATCTAGCTATGAGATATTCATATAAAGTGATTTGAGTGGGTCAAACTTGGTGAACAAAAGGGACAGCAGTTTTTCTTAAAAAGCCATTCCCTCAATACTAGATTATTAGAAAATGTAAAAAGCAGTTCCTTTGCAGTTTCTCTGTGCCTCATTTTGCTTGTACTACCTGTATTCCAATGTCTCTATAAATATCCAACTGAGAAACTTGATGCTATTAAATTATGTAAATCACAGAAAATATCTTGAATGCTAACATTTTCTAATAATCTTACTGTTTTTTTCTTAACCAGACTAAGATTGTGAGGCATTCCTTTCCAAAGACAGTAAAGGACCCTTATTTAACGCCCACTTCACTGATGAATAGGTCAGCAGGGGTGCTGTTTGACAGAGACGTGCCCTCCTCTAGTGGCTAAGAGCATCCCCACCATAATGCTTGGTCTCCACTGGTGCAGTAAATTAGATTCTCAAATCTCTTACTACACCTGGTGTGGACAGATTACGATTCTGCCATCAGATCACTCTTGTAGCAGGTGCCTATATTGGGAGATTTTTAAAAACTGTTTTGGGATGCTTCATGTTTGAAAAAGAATAAAGTTGATCTATGATTTTCATTGTTCCACAGTTGTTGTAAGAGATACTTGAAATACTGATATTAAGCATTTCCAGGGATAATAAAGGACAGTGCTTACCTCCACTCTTTTCTTGTCTTCTCTGATTTTGGTGTTAAAATTCTTCAGTGTTACTGCTTTGCTTTTGTGAATTTGTCAGCCCAGCAGTACGCATTTTTACTGCACTCTAAAAGAATGGAACTATAGCTCAAAGGTGACATATAAAAATGCCTAAGGGATAAAAAAAATTGCATAAATTATGCTTCTAGCTTTTGTATGAAATAATGCATTGTACCTTCTTTTTGTAGGCAATATTTTATAACTATCTTTCTCAAAGGCTAGTATTGCTTCCAATAAATATACCAAATGTATATCCTTTATTCATATTTTTTGGGGGGGAAATGTATTCAACACCAGTAAATTTTATTTGACTTGGCACATTTTTTGCTGAAAGCCCCCCAGAAAAGTTTGTATTGATGTGTGCTTGTGAGTGCATATTTATTGAAGAGACTCCATATTATAGTGAATATAATATAGGCAGATACGTTAGAGAAAAAAGAGTTTTAATAAGAATAGGTTAGAAGACAAATAATTTGGAAAAATCTACATTGTGGAAATGTGTGCTACATTTTAAAATATTTCTATAGAAAGATGATTAAAAGAAGTGTTGATGCTTAAGGGACTTTCAAGTGAGAAATGGTCTCGATTCCTTTTAGCTCACAACTAATTGGAGTCCTTTAGAGGAGATTGGCTTCACCTGCCCGTACCCAGACATGTTTCAGTAGCTGGTGCTGCAGTAAAGTCCTTGTCCTTTCTCTTAGATGAGAACCTAATTACTCTTTCCCTTTGAGCCCTCTAATGGTGGAAGAGAGTTGACTTTTACAATAGAAAGTAATTACGCCTTTAAATTAAAAATTCTCAAGAAAGGGAACTAGGTTTACCTGGAACAGTCTTATCACTCCCCTGGCTTCAGATGCTGTGTATATGCTGATGGCTTTTGAATTCTATATTTCTAGCCCTTATTATGCCTCTAACTTTGGACGCAAATTGCCACTGAAAAAAATCACACCCAAGTGTTCTATACAGATCACACACTGTTATATCAAAAAAACATGATTATTTTCCTGAACCTTTTCCTTTGTTTTCAGCTTTACCTGGATTTCAAAACTAGTCATCATTTATTCATTAATTTATTCATTTATTAAGCACATGCTATGTGGCAGGTACATTGTTATGTGCTAGGAAAACAAAGATAATACAGTTTCTAGTTTTTAGTTTAGCGAAATGGAGAAGTTATCTCTGAATCCTCTTTTTTAACTCCCTTCCATTTAGGCAGCAAGGCCAGTGTATTTTGCCACCAGAACTTGCCTCTTAAACTTATTCCTTTCTTTCAATCCCATTGCCATTGCCTCAGATCCATAGCTTCATTATTTCTTAACTGCACCAGCTTCCTAACTGATCCCCCCTACCACCAGGCTCTTTCTAGTTCATCTTCCTTATGGTCATCAGCATAATCTTAAAAAATAAATTTGGTCTTATTCTTCTGCTTACGCTTTTTTAATGAGTTATGTCATCTACAGAACCACATCTGCGTTCCATAGGCTTTCTTATAATGTCCTTCCTAATCTGGCCCCATTTCCTTCATTCACCCAATACACCAGTCACAATAAGCTGCTTACTTTATGAAAACACACTAATTTTTTTTATAGTTTTTATGTGTGTTGTACCTTATGAGGTCTCTCTTATGCTTCATGGCCAACCTCCCAAATGCCACATCATTAAATCCATACTTTTCCTCCCTGCATTAGTCATTCTCCTCTATAATCAGACAGTTGTGTTTAAACCTACCTCTGACATAGCACTCATATTGTGGCATTGCCATTTTATTATATGTATCTCTCCCCTGTGACCCTGAATTCCTTGAGGACATAGATCTGTCTTTTTCATTTTTGCATCTCTTGCACAGTGCCTTGAACAAAGGATTCACTCAGTGAAAGAATGGCTTTCCATTCTCCTAAGCATGCAGTTATGGTTTTCCTCGTTACTGAAGGTTTGCGGTCATTTGTGTGTTAAGAGGCACTGTCTTTAGTTATTCTATTGTGTTAGCATAAACATACACGCCACTTATTTGTTTATCAGAGCCTATTTGAAGACTAAACCCCCTCCCCCTTTTGTTGGAAATAAAAATTTATGATTTTAGGTTGAGCAGCTTTGACAGTATTTGCCTATCTCTTCCATGTGCTGCACTAACCACCCCTATCTTGTATGTGTACAAATGTCAGTTGAACTCTCTCCTTATCTGCCACATGCTCATTAACTATCACAATCCTCAAGTCAGCTCAAACGTGCCGCTTATTGAGTTAATGTGGACCCATACATTAACATCACATGTTGTTTTCAAATAATTTACTGTGTTTCAGACTTTAAAGCTCCTCTAGGACAAGCAGGAAAGGGTTAGACACAAATCAGTTGACATACCAACCTAGGAAAGTATAAAAATAATGAGCATGTTAAAAAATAGTTATAGTTGTAAATTGATTTCCTTTTGTTGGCAGAAAGAACATAATTGATTAGTCTAGGAACAGGTTCACACTGATTTTATATCAAACACTTCCAGCTGAAGCTTGTTAGTGACTGCCTCTCAGATTAAGGAAAAAAAATCCTCACTGTGGTACATGAACTCCTATTGTTAAGACATAAATAATTAGCTCATCCCCTACGTAGATGAGAACAAAGGACATAATAGTACACAGAGCAAAGATTAACTAAGCAAATATTGCATAACTCCATTTAAAGATGTAAATCTAAAAATAGCCTACCTATAAGGAGGTTTTCCTTTTTAATTTGTTTTTTGTGAATGTCTCAGTCATGGTATCTGAGCTAGTCACAAGAGGAAAATATGCTTTGGTTTTTGAATCAAGTGAATTGATTATTTTAACTCAAAGTAAAATAAAATACCTTAATCATTGTCAGTATGCTGCTAACATTCCCTTTCATAGCAAAATGCTTCAGATTTTTAGGTTTTTTTTATTTTTATTTTTATTTTTACTTGTTTAAAACAAGGACTAAATACCAGAACTTTCATTTTGAAGCAAAACATCAGTGGAAACATATGACTGAAAACCCAGAGGTAAGGTCATTGACTTTTGGCACAGTATTTTTTTGTACTTTGTTTTGTATTTTTTAACATGAAATACAGATCCCAAAAAAGGAAATGTAGATCCTTTGAAAAAGAAAATCCACTCCTTCAAGCTACTTTTTCATTCATTTGAATTTTATTCATTTGAATTTGATTTTGACACAATATAATAAGAAAAGCGGTAGTGGAAAACAGTACGTATTCCCTTAAAATCTGAAAATTACTGGCAAAAGAAAATACCTGCATAGGTAAGAAAAACCAAGAGTAGGAGTAATAATCATTTTCCCACAAAGTTTTAAATTTACTTAGATAGTTAAAATGACATTTCTTGAAAAAAAATTTCAGTGTTTTAGGAGAGAACTTTTGTTACCTTTACTTTTAAAAATTTGAATGTTAATCCTAACTTCTAGTTTATTTAACTGTTATATATATTGTATGATTTGTGATCATGATTTTTTAATAACTGATCTTTTATCCACAAATGTGTAAGAAATTTTGCTTTGGGAAATCATTTTCAATGTCAACTAATGTTTTCAGATTTTATGTTTTTACCTTAAATTTTAAAAATTAATGTTTAAAACAATAAATTTTATGTCTAAGATAATATACAACCTGATTTATGAAAATCTAACATGTGGTTAGGTTAATATTTCCACATTAATATTTTACTTTTGGTACATCAGATGCTACACATTTGATAATTTTGTTAACAGCATTGTTGATTGTTACTTCTCAAGGCCACTACCTGTATCCCTGAGGCAGGACATTTGACTGTGTTTGGATACTTCTTTGTCTTTATTGCTACAATTCCATTTAAGGTTTTTATTTATTTTATCTGTATTCCCTGTTCTGCAGAGTTTCTAACCTCCATCATACTCATAGTACCCTCTTTCAGTGTGGGATGCTGCCACGGGGGTCACATTACTGACTTTTCCTTATCACTGCCTTTTTCCACAAAGCTTTCCTTAGTCTATCCCAACAAAATTATTTCTTTCCTGACTCCTGCAGCTCCTATTCTGGGGTCCTATAAGGAATATTGACTTTGGATTCAGATGGTATTCAAATGCAGGCTACTTTTAACCACTATTAGCTCAGTGATCTTGACCCATTTACATGACTTCTCTGAGGCTGTTTCCTCATTTGGAAAAAAGGTTTATTTATAGTGCTTAACTTGTGGATGGGTTGTGAGGAGTAAAGAAATTAAAGTGCCTAGCACAGTGTCTACCATAGAGACTAGACTGAATAAAAGTTTCAATCCCTATACCACTAATTACCCATGGACACTAATATTAATTAGTTCCTATAGCTTTTCCCTCCCTCCCTCAAAGTTTCATCCATATTCTCTGCTACATCCTGAGGGAAGGACTGTATGCCACATTACGTATCAGTCATTCTCAGGAGTTTCGAAGGACACTAGAAGAATAGATAAACTTGTGGATTGTTTAATATTGGAGGCCTTTATTCACAGTAGTAATACTGTCTTGGCAAACCACCTTCTAATATTTATTATTACTGAAAATGAGATATTAATTTGGCCAAACATTTTAATATATTAAATATTCTTAACATTAAGTGCTTAATTTAGAATTTGCTGTTACAACTCTAAAATGTTTTCTAATACATCTTTAGTATATGTGGTGTATTCTTTTTCATTGGGACTTATGGATTAAATAGTTTGAAACATGAGCTAAAGTGCCTCAACCTATTTGTTTGGGGTGACTGAGTAGGAACTAATAATGCCAATCATCCTTTTATGATGTCTGTTTTCTCATCCATAAAATGAAGTGGTAGTACTCATTGATCTCCAAGGTTTCCAGTCCTTATGGGCTAGCTCAGAATTTAATTTTATAATTTTTTATTGATAAATTTTAGGTAGTTTTTGTAGCCCAAAGACAAACAAGCAAAACTTTTTTCATTGTTAAAAGAAGAAATAAAAAATAGAATTTGGGAAAATATAGGACACTCAAGTAAGAATTTTTATAATAACAGCTTTGCTGTAATTCTCCTATGCTATAGATTGGTAACAAGTTATACTAGCCACAGGTTTGTGGTAACTTGTGAGAACCTTTGTGGGCTCACAGCATGTAATCAGCAGCTAGAAAACATCCTTAAGGCTGAACCATAAGTCATAACTAATCATCAGCTTTAAGTAAGAAAACTCTGTAAACTATAAAATTTTTAAAACCCATGTATAGCCTCACCCTAGTAGCATATCAGTATTGAAGTAATTAACATTCTTCACTTTGTGTACTTTAAGCCATCTTTTTTACCAAGTAGTTTCTTTAAATGAGAGTCAACAAATGTTTCTATTTCTGTGAGTAGATTTTTGCAACTTGGTATGTACTTTAATATTTTAAGATAAAATTATTCCAGCAATTTATAAGTTCTTTCCCAAAGCCCTGTATATTTTTGTGTACTTTATCAGTGTATTTTTTAATTAAACATTTTATTTTGAGATATTTGTAGATTCATAAATAATTTTAATGAAAATATGGGCTCTCTCTTCCTATGTACTCTTCACCCAGTTTCCCCCAATGCATCTTAAACAAAACTATAGTACAGTATCGCAACCAGGAAATTGACATCGATACAATCTGCTGATCTTGTTCAGATTTTACATGTGTTAATTTTTGAGTATATCTATGTGTATTTAGTTATATTAAAATTTACTACATGTGTAACGTCCAGGGCTTCGAACTGCTTCTTGCCACTTCATTCACGGCCAAGGAAGTGAAACTGGAATAGACGTGATTTTCTAAAATTTGAGTGAACTGGGATCACTGGAACGGGAAAAATTATAGGTTGAAGCCCTGCTGGAAACCTAATCTCCCTCTTAGAAAACGAGGGCCACGTATGTGTTGCACAGCAACCAGATCTGTTGCCTGCAGGAGTTTCAACAGAGTCAGAAACAGCAGTGCCCCACTGAACAATGGCTACGGACTGCACAGATTTGACTGTGTGTCGCTCTCCACAGTCCTGCCAGTAATCAGTATCATGCATCAGGCTCCTGATTGGACTCACTACGCTTCTTCTGAGTCTCTCGTTCTGGGGCTTCAGTCCATAAATTTTCCTGTTCTGGTTATCATTCGGTATCACCCAAATGGTAAAAATTCAGTTCTATTCTGGTTTCGCTTTGTCAGCCAAGACTGAACTAGTTTGAAGCCCTCGTAGGGTCATGAATTCACCACCATAGACAAGATATAGATCAGTTCCATCATTATAAGGATTCTTCCTGCTGCCCTTTTATAATACACCCAGCCCTTGGCAGCCACTAATCTGTTCTCCATCTCTATAATTTTGTCATTTCAGGAATTTGCATAAATAACATCATACTGTATGTAACCTTTTGTAATTAGCTTTTCACTGATTGTCATGGATTGAATTGTGTCCCCCAAAAATATCTGTCAGCTTGACTAGGTCATGATTCCCAGTATTGTGTGATTGTCTACCATTTTGTCATCTGATGTGATGTCCCTATGTGTTATAAACCCTATCACTATGATGTAATAAGATAGATTAGTGGCAGTTATATTGATAAGATCTACAAGATTAGATAGTGTCTTAAGCCAGTCTCTTTTGAGATATAAAAGAGAGAAGGGAGCAGAGAGACAAGGAGACCTCATGCCACCAAGAAAGCAGTGCCAGGAGCAGAGCATGTCCTTTGGACCTGGAGTTCCTGTGCGGAGAAGCACCTAGTCCAGGGGAAGATTGATGGTAAGGACATTCCTCCAGAGCCAACAGAGAAAGTCTTCCCCTGAAGCTGACACCCTGAATTTGGACTTTTGGCCTACTAGACTGTGAGAAAATAAATTTCTCTTTGTTAAAGCCATCCACTGGTGGTATTTCAGTTATAGCAGCACTAGATGACTAAGACAGAATTTTGTACCGGGAGCGGAGTGTGGAAGCAGTTTTGAAACTGAATGGATAGAAGACTCAGAAGGAAGTGAGGAGAACTGTTAACACCAGAGAAGGTGCAGATGGTGAGAAACAGCAGCAGAGGACCAGCAGCAGCAGAGAACCTGCAGCAGCAGAACCAGGAGACCAGCATGACATGGCGCTGGAGCCGACCCACAGAGTAAGAGAGCTTAGCACCTTTGAGCAGGAGGCTTCCTGGCGGAGTGGGGTGCCTCCGGCCACTTATTAGTGGAGCTAGGCTTGCTGACCAACGGAGCGAGAGAGCTGAGTGTCTTTTGGCCGAAGTTTACTGGCGGAATGGGGTGCATCTAGGCACTTACTGGTGGAGCTACAGAGGTTTAGAACACTTGTCCCAGCAGGGCAGATGTGAGTGTGAGGCCCAAGGGCTGAGAGGCCAAGGAACCAGGAAGCAGAAGCTGAAGAGACAAGGAACACAAGAAGCTGAGCTGCCTTAGTCACAAAAGGTATGTCCTCGACCTCTGGGGTTTCAAAGGATGGAGCCATGGCTGCTGGTGTTTCTAAGGGTGGAGTCACCACTCAGATGGACTAGGAGAATGGTGCACCTAAAGTTGAGGGAGCAGAGTTGCCATCCCAGTGGGCCTGAAAGGCAGAGCTAAAGCCCAGGGTCGAGGGGCCTCCACTCAGAATCTTGAGAGTGTGACCAATACCTAGAGTCTGGAGGGCAGGGCCATTGTGTAAATTGTCTCAGAGAACAGTAGATTATTTTCAAGCCTTGAGGACTAATGTAATGTGTTCTGCTGACTTGCTTGGAGCCTGTTATACCTTCCCTCCAGTTTTTCCAGTTTTTAATGGAAATGTCTAGCTTGTGCCTGTTCTGCTGTTGTGCCTTTGGAAGCAGATAATTTGTATTCTAGATTTCACAGATGAAGAATTTTTGGATTTTGGACTTAGAGTTGATTTAAGACTTTTGCTATGATATAATGGGGTGAATATGTTTTACACGTGGCAAGGACATGAATTTTTGGGGGGGTCGAAGGGTGGAATGTCATGGATTGAATTGTGTCCCTGCAAAATATCTGTTAACTTGGCTAGGTCATAATTCCCAGTATTTTATG